GAGTGCATTCTGTGCGTGGAGATTTCTAAATTAATAATAAGGAACAAAGATGCATTAAGTTGGGGGAGGTTGTTATTGGGTTTCCTTTGTTTTGATGATGACGGGAAAAATCTGTAAAAGTGAAGCAATCTGGAAATTAGCATATGAACCGTAAAGGAGAAGAACCGGTTTGGGTACTTTGAAGCTAGAAAAGTGAAGCAACCTGGAAATTAGCATAAGAACAGTAAAGGAGAAGAACCGGTTTGGGTACTTTGAAGCTAGACTGTAAAGAAAGAAAAAAAAAGTTGAAGGAACAGAGGTGGGGGGTGCGCAGGCAGCGTGGCTGGATCGACCGCGTGGCTGGAGGTGGGCAGTCTCTCGGCGCTCCCCCGGTGTCCAGAGCGGAGTCGAGCGACCCGGGCGGCGGCGCAGCTCTAACTGGGCACGGAGCAGCAGAGTCCAGCTCACATTCCGGGAGCGGCAGCCTCCGTCTCCTCTTCCTGCAGCAGGGGCGAAGAAAAGTCCCTGCGTCGGGGCAGGGGCCTTCCAGTGGCTGCGGCTGACGCTGTTTCCGCGGTATTCGCTCGGCTTTCTCCATCCAGCGGCGGCAGAGACGTGGCGGGCAGTTTGAAAATGCTGCTTTTCCGTGCTGGGGACGCGTGTTTCGCGTGCAGTCCGTGTTGTTTTTCAAAGTCCGCACGACGCTGCACTCAGCAGCCCCGCGGCTCTCCGCAGCCACCGCCGCCGAGCCGAGACCACACGGCTTGCCTGCAAGTCCCTCGGCCCTCCGCCCCCCTGGGCTACAGAGTCGGCGTGGCACAGTTTAATTGCCGGGCGCTCAGCAGAGCCGGCACCGTAGATCAAAACGTCTCTCCTCCTCGGCAATGCAGAGACAGGATTAGTCAATGGGGGAGGGGGAGCGAGCTGTTATCGTTCCCACTGTTTATATTCAAAAGTATATTTTAAAATTGTTTACCGATTTCGTGGGCGGAATTCTTGCCCGCATTTCTCCACCAATTGTTGGGGTTGAGTGGCTCCTGGGGGGTCTCTCCCGGCGCTGTGTGAAGGTTCCTAGGGTTGAGATTACCTCTTCCCCCGCCCCCGCTGCCTGCCCTCGTGGCCAGGACAGGCAGCGGAGGGGCCTCTGCCCGGAGAGAGAGAACACGCTGCACGCAGGGAGGCCAGCAGGAAAAGAGAGTTTATTCAAATGTCCCCCAGCTTATATGGGCTGGTGGGGAGAGTGGTGATTGGACATTTAGATAGCCAATACAAAGAGACAATATAATAACTATT